TATTGAGTCACATATTAGCGTTAAAATCGAACTACTGTCTCCATAAAAACGTCTCTATTGAGTCACATATTAGCGTTAAAATCGAACTACTGTCTCCATAAAAACGTCTCTATTGAGTCACATATTAGCGTTCAAATCGAACTACTGTCTCCATAAAAACGTCTCTATTGAGTCACATATTAGCGTTCAAATCGAACTACTGTCTCCATAAAAACGTCTCTATTGAGTCACATATTAGCGTTAAAATCGAGCTACTGTCTCCATAAAAACTTCTCTATTGAGTCACATATTAGCGTTAAAATCGAGCTACTGTCTCCATAAAAACTTCTCTATTGAGTCACATATTAGTGTTAAAATCGAGCTACTGTCGCCATAAAAACTTCTCTATTGAGTCACATATTAGTGTTAAAATCGAGCTACTGTCTCCATAAAAACGTCTCTATTGAACTATATTTAGGTATAACATTTTGAACCTTTTATTGTTATCGAAATTGTCTTGCATTGTTAGCTTAATATAAATCTTTAAGACTCACCTAAGTATTTTAATGTAATATTGGAATTACAACCTAAAATACCCCTAACGGCGAGAAGATGAATCTGATGAAATAAAACATGCTATTCCTTATAAGAAAGAAGTAACAATGATACATTGAATTAGCTATACTCGTTACCTGGTTGGTTTTTAGTTTGGACCTAAGTAAAAATCTTGATTTGATTGGAGATTAATATTAATTTAAACGTCGTTCGAAAACAAAATTTTCACAAAATTTGTCGGTATGATTTAAAAGTCTCTTCTTATGAAATGATCAATCCATCAAAAAAATCAAAAGATAAAAGAAATTCCTGAGAACGATCATCAACTGTACTTCAAAACAAAATATGGATTATCTTCTTATTTTACTTTAAGATTTTAATTAAAATGGTTTAATAAATTCTCCTTCAGTAACGCCCCCTTGTGGTCATTCTGCAGGCTTACGACGTTAAAATTTGGGTCTGTACACAAAAAAAGACTAATGTTATTCGCTCTTTAATTAACAAGATTATTCTGTGATTCAATGTATTTTTGTTCAATTAATAAAAAATTAATTTTCATTACACTGGACAGCTGATTTGAGTACACTTTAATTAACAACATTGATTTTTACATTCATTCCTGACGTCTGACCACAAGTAATCAGCCAGAACTTACAAGAGGTCGAAAACAGTAAAGCACGAAAAAAAAATCATAATCAAGTAATAATTTGATTATCTGAATTTGATCTTTGTCATTAATTAATTATCATCATTGAATTTGATTATCCGCGTCATCATTTTCATAACATCGGACTGTCTTGGGGCTCTGAACCCTCCTTCTGGGCGTTGTTCATCCCCAAAGTCTCTGTCCATTTCAGAATCACCTTGGTCAGAGACCATATGTTCTCTCTTACCAAATCTTAGCGGTATTCTAAAACGGCCCCCTTCATTTCTCTTCCCAAATCTCATTGGAATTCTGAGGCGAAGGCAGTGGTGACAGTACTTTCTATAGCCTAGCTTCCAGCAGAGGTCGCTGCAAGCATCGAATGCTTCAGTATGTCTTTGGAAGTGGAGAAAGATTACCAAAATCAGAATACATCTTGATATGAGTATACTTGTAGAAGGATCCGTCATACCTGATACCTGACGTAAAAAAATATCATAACTATGACGTAACAATTTTAGCAACAATAATAGGTCATATGAATACTAGAAAACTAACTCATAGTAACTACATTATTACTAAAAAAACTGACTTATAATAACCATAAAACACTAAATCGTAACAACTACATGATAACTAGAAAACACTGAATCATAATAACATTGCGATAACCAGAAAATTGCCTCAAAATGATAGAATGATAACTAGAAAAACCCTGAATAATAGTAATTACACGAATCCTGGAAACTGGCTCATAATAACAACACGATAAATATAAAACACTAAATCGTAATAACTACATGACATCTAGTGATTTGACTCATAATAATTCCATGATACCAGAAACCACTAACTTGTAACAGCAACATGAAAATTAAAAACTTGACTCATAATAATAACACAATAACACTAAATCGTAATGAATAGAAAATCTTGAATCGAAACTACTATATAATTATTATAAAACCCTAAATTATAAAACCTACTGAACGTTAAGTCGTAATAACAATATGACAACTGGCTTATAATAACTGCATTATATGTGTAAGACACGAAATCCTACATACTACTTGATAAATAATAAATACAAAATCCTAAAAATTATAACTATAAAATTGACTCATAGCAACTACCTGATATACAACAATGATTACTAGAAAATAGTGAATTGTAATAAATTTATCGCTAAATAAAAAACTTTGTAGGACTAAACCAAACAAGATAGGGATGGAAGTGGACATATCACATGATCTGGCTAATGATTATATAGCAGGCTAAGCTGTCTCGACTTTTCATGGAGAATATAGTCCCCATATTACTGGCTTCCCCAATTTGTCTATCGAAAGCTTGGTGTTTGAATAGAATCTCAGCTTTCATCATTATACCCTTCCTTTAGTTAACTTTAGAATACTACTTTTTATGACTATTTTACAATAAAGTCACATTTTACGATTGGAAATTCTGGTTCTGTTTGTTTTACCAGTAATGTATGGATTATATTCTCCATGTAAAGTCGAGACAGCTTTGTCTGTTATGTGATCATTAGCCAGATCATGTGATGTGTCAACTTCTATCACTACCTTGTTTGGTTCCTTATTTCAAGTTCAGTAGCCAGCCCTACATAGATTTTTTTATTTAGCGATATTTTATCCCTAATACTTGTTTGTTTACTGTTTTATAAGATGAAGTACGTGGGTTACTAGGTTATAGTGTAATCTAAAGTTTTATAAATTTTACATGTAATAATAATAAAATAGGTAGTCAAAGATCGTGAAGACTGTTTTGTTCTACCAAATGATGATAAAAGTATAGTTACTACTAGAACTAGGTAGGCGCTAGGCCTATTGAAGAAAGATGATGAACGATAATAAGAGATCATGGTTTTGGCTGTTCGCCAGTTTTCCACTTTGAGACGCTCTAGATAACTGAAAAGCGGCATATATACTGGAGATAGAGCGACTATACCAGGTCATATATATAAACAATGGTTATAACTTATAGTGTTATAGCTCTCTTAAACAATGGTTATAACGTATAGTGTTATAACTATCTTAAACAATGGTTATAACGTATAGTGTTATAACTATCTCAACCAATGGTTATAACGTATAGTGTTATAACTCTCTCAAATACTGGTTA